ATTTATTATTTTTCATCAAATAAATAAAAAATGATAATTTATTGAGGTATAAATTATTTGTTATTAATAATTTATATTAAATAAAAAGCAATTAATTAAGTATTAATAGAACTAGCTTCTATTCTTCCTGGCTCAGGGGAGACTAATCCCGTCCCTTCGTCTTCATCTTCTTCTAGCAACTCTACGGAGTATGTTTGGTTGTGATCTCCGCAGTATTCCATGACATCCTTCATGTTTTAACTACACGGTTTTTAATTTCTTTCTCGATGTCAATGTCAATTTTTAATTCTTTAATTAATTTATTACTTTCTTTATTTATTAATCTATTAATTGAAATTACTACTGGAATTATTCTGACATCTTTTAACTTTTCTATTTTCATTAGCCTATTCTTTAATTCCTTATACATATTTCTTTTCTTCCAATAGGCTCCATTAATATTGTGATCAGCCACAATAGTCATATCAAATAATAGACCAGTTTTATTCTTTTTATCTATTACGTATATGTCTGGTCTTTTGTGGTATTGTCATTCACTTTTAGGCATTATTTGTTTGTTCCATATCATAGTGATGTCTTTATATTGGAACACTGTTTCATATGGAGGTTTTTTATATTGTTTATTTCCTGTGTATTTTCTTATTAATCCCTCCCATATTATAATGCCTATATTGTCATGTTTTTCTATTTGTGATTTTTTATGATAAATACAAGATAGTAGAATATGTTCTACTGTTACTGTCTTGTCTTTACAAAGTGTTGAGTATTTCAATCTTTCATTTTTCATTATTTTTGATTTTCTATACCCACAAAATATTGCTCCGTCTTGCATTTTAGTTAATTGAAGAAATGCATTTTTTTAATATTGATGGATTTCCATGCTTTCACTGTAGTAGTTTTATCTACTCCTTTTGACTCGAACCATCTTCTAAAGTGTCCACTTGTTTGATGACACTTCCATTTTTTGATGTATTTGTCAATAATTTTTTTATTTCTACTACTACTTCTTTTTCTTTTTTCTTTTCTATCTATATTTCTTCTATTTTTGTTTCTGGGATTTTATGACCTAGGGCTTTTTTAATTCTATTCCATATTCCTTTCTTACTGTACCATCTATCTAATATGTTATTTCCTATTTCACTTTCTCTGGCACAATAGTACATTACTGTTCTAACTAATTCAATAACATATTCGTCATTTATGTTTATTAATCCTTCACCCATTTCTTCTAGAGGGACATACAACCTATCTTTGGAGTTTCCGGCACCAATGTATTTTGCCTTTCTTAAATATTTTCTTATCTCCAAATCAATTTTATCTAAGTCAGTTATTTTCCAATTCACAACTGATGCTGAATATCTGAAGATAGGGATTACTTCCGTGTTTATTCTGGTAATATATCTTCTATTACTGCTATCATCAGTGTTTATTTCTTCCATCTTCTTCATCATTTTTTCTTTGATGGTTTTACAATTGAAGGTATCATCAATTTCGTCGGACTGCCATATTCCTAAGTATTTATACAAGTTCTCACCTTCAATTACGGGGATGTTTTGCATTTCATTTGGTATTTCCTTAATGTTTTTTAATACCAATCCTGACTTTTTTTCATTCATTTCCATCCCTATTCCACTTATTATTTCTTTAATTTCACAGTGGATTATTCCCATTTCTTCACTACTTTCCGTCATTATTCTCAAATCATCCATATATAATGTGTGATTTGCTTTTGGGAATTTCTCTTCGATGATTTGAGAAATTACATTCATCTGAATGATGAAGAGTAGAGGGGATAATGAATCACCTTGTAAAATTCCTCTATTTAATTTAATACTACCTAGATATTCATTAAATTTATAGCCGATGAATATCTTCCATCTAGTCATCATACTTTCAATAATGTCAATGATGACTCCCTCTACATTAAAATATTTTAATGATTCAATAACCCATTCGTGGTTGACTGTGTCATATGCTTTCTTAATGTCATAATATGACTCCACATATTTTGGGTATTTTTCTTCTTTCTGCTGCTTTAACATAAAACTATTAATTATTCCTTCTTTAGCAGCTAAAGATTGTAACTTACATCCCAGTTGATTTTTACTGATTTTCAATGATTCACAATTCATGTTAAGTCTTCTGTGAATCTTTTCTTTTAATATGGAGGTAAATACTTTCATAATTACATTTGTACAACTGATATGACAATAATTAATGACATCATTCCTATCACCTCCTTTGTGGATTAATAAAGTTCTTCCACTTACCATGTCTAATGGGATGTTTTGAATGAAGTTCAACCATTCATTGAATATGTTAAGAATGATTTCTCTTGATGATGACATCCTTTTCCAATAATACCCATATATAGTGTCTATTCCTGGTGTTTTCCAGTTACTTATTTTCTTTAAACTGAAATTTAATTCATTTAATGTTATTATGACACTATCATAATTTCTATATCTTTCATTCCACGAGGTGATTTGTTTTATTTTCCAATTTTCTTTATTTAATATCACTTGTGTTTCATATAATGATTTCCAATATTCTAATGTAATATCGTTATTTGGGTATATTTCATTTTTTGTTTCTTCTTTATTCTAATTTTCTTATTAGAATCAAACATGATTTTATTTGTATTGATTCTGATTATTTCTTCCTTATTAAATTTAATTCTTTCTTTTATCATAGTCATTATATATTTTAGGTACTTTATTCTTTCTAGTGCTTTAACTTTTATTCCTTCTTCATCATATTCTTTTAATTTCATGATGCACTTTATTCTGTACCATTTCCTTCCCTTGACCAAATCTTCTAGTCTATTTATTTTCTTTAGGATTTCTTTTATTTCATCAAATTTATCTCTTATTATTTTATTTTGGAGATAGAGGTGCATAACCATTGAAATATTCACATCATCTTGAATATCCTGCATTCTGCTTCCTGACCATACCCATCTATTATTAATTTCCATTATTAATCGGTCAGCTTCTTTTCTTTGAAAGTAGTAATTAATGTTTGAACATTTTTCTATTTTCATTTCTTTCACTTTATTGATGAGAGTGTTAAGGTATTCTTCATCAATTTCAGTAGAGTTATTCTTTAATATGATGTTTTATTATTGAATCACACTCTACTCTTCCTTCTATTATATCATTTACTTTCATTTTAATATACCGTTTAATGCTTTCTTTTATATCATGTGATATTTTAATATATTTAATATATTCATTTTCATTATTGACATTGATGTTTATCACTTTTATTATATTCTCTATTTTTTCCCATCTTAATTTCTTATATAATTTCTTATTCAACCAATTAATTGCAAAACAATACAACACTTCAATTAAAATTCTATTTGTTTGGTTTGTTGTATTTCTTGTCTGATTATCATCTCTTGTTTTTTGACAATCAGTGCTTTGCTTTTCTCTTCGATTTCCACTACTGTCTTTTTCATAGGAGTAGTTTCGTTCATCTTCATCGTTCCTGATGATGCTTTCCTCAGTACTGGTTGTGTATTTATCACAAGTGTCATAGTTTTCTTCTTCTCTAGTTCCTTCTGTGAGATAAAATTTTCAATATCATCTTGTTGTTTTGATATTATTTGTTTTTGTGTCTCATTTTCTTTTTGTGTGTTATCTAATTCTTCTCTTGTTATTTCTGCAATTTCTTGATTTTTAATTGCAATTTCTTGATATTCAGAGATTTGTTTTTCTTTATCTCTTATTTCCTTCTTTAATTCTTTAGTATTTTCCTCTATCATTTCAATTTTCTTCTCTAGTACTTCCGCTTTTTCCTCTAATACACTATTCTTCTTCTCCAGTATTTCACCTTTTTTCTTTAGCTCTTCTGTTTTCTCCTTTTGTTCATCCTTTTCCTTCTGTAACTTCCCTTTAGTGGATTTTAGACTTCGAATGGTTTCTTCTTTGTTATTTACTTCTGTGATTTTCCTTCTATCTCATTTATTTCACTGTGTAATTTTATATTTTCTTCTGTTAGTTTTTCATTTTCTTTCTTCTTTTCATTATAATTCGTTTGTACCTTCTTAATTTCTCTTTTCATATTTTCTATTTCTTTCTCAAATTCTTTTCTGACTATTTCTTTTGCTTTTTCTATCATTTCATCTGAGATGGCTTGTTCTTCTTCCATTCTTTTTGCTTGATATTCTTTAATTTCTTCTTCTAATTTTTTAATTTGCTTTTGAAGTATTTTAATTTCTTCTTTTTCTTTATAATTTTCCTCTTCATTCTTTGTTTCTTCTTTGTTTTCTTCTTGTGTTTTTCTTTCTTTTTCTGTTTCATTTATTATTATTGCATTTTACATCTTTTTTGTAATTCTTTGATTGGATTTCTACTTTTGATTTCTGTTTCAATTGCTTGGATATCTTCTTCTTTCCATCCTTTTGTTCTTTCCTTAAATTCTTCTTGCATTTTTTCAATTCTCTTTTTCTTTTTGATTGAATATACTTCTTGGAGAATGTCATACCATCTTTTCCTTTTACCTTCATACTTTTTGAGTATTTCTTCATATTCTCCTTTTTCCCATTTGTTATTCCTTTTATTCTTTCATGTATCTCTTTTATTGTTAACCATCTATGTCTATTGTTTGTATATTCGGTATTATTCCAGTATTTATCCTGTTTTTTATTCGTTCTCTTTTGTCTTTGTTGTTTTTTAAACCCTTTTCTCTTGGTATTTCTTTTATTATAATTGTGATATCTTTTATTATAATTGTAATATCTTTTATTGTTGTTATTGGTATTTAACCTTGTATTTCTATGTCTTGTTTGCTTTTCTTTACAAGACATCAAGGCATTACTCCATAACAATGGCAATAAAATTTGTTGTATTTCCTGCATTGGAAAAGGATCTCCTATTAATAATTTATATTAAAAAAAATAAAAAGAAAAATTGAATGAAGGTTATCTTAAAAATAAAAGAAGTTCACACTAAAAATAAAAAAGAACTAATAAATAATAAAATAATAAAGAAAGAATGCAAATAGGATATAATGAAATAATGATTGTCTCGAAGTATTTTGAAGATATTAATGATTTTATTAATTTAGAAATGGGAGTTAAAAGATTTAGAGGAAATATGGAACGATTTCATTTTAATCCAATTCCATTGAATCAATATTCAAGAAAATTATTTCCTAATATTGAAACATTTCATATTTATAATAAAGAAGATGAAATATTTAAAGATGGAAAAATATTTAAACAAATAATATGGTATAAAGTGAATTATTCAAGATATTTATTAGAGAAAGAAGAAATGAATGAATGTAAAAATATCGAATATACAAAAGAAGATGGAGAAGAATATGGAAATACAATACCAATAGAAGTTAATTCACTTGGAAATGAATGTTTTTATGGATGTGATGATATTCAATCAATTAATATACCAACAAGTATTAGTAAAATAGGAGACTATTGTTTTTATGAATGTTCATCATTAAAAACAATTAATATACCAACAAGTGTAATTGAAATAGGAAATAGATGTTTTTATGAATGTTTATCATTAAAATCAATTGAAATACCAACAAGTGTAATTGAAATAGGATATGAATGTTTTCGTTGGTGTTTATCATTAAAATCAATTGAAATACCAACAAATGTTAGTAAAATAGGATATGACTGTTTTAATTTTTGTACATCATTAAAATCAATTAATATAGAAGATGTAAAATATATAAGTGAAGAAAGAATATTTATGAATGAACCAGTGTTAATTAGTATTGAAATACCAAAGAATTTAAAAATGATAAATGGAAAGAAGATTAAAAAGAAAGATATTAATGAATTTATTATTCCATCAACAATCACTAAAATAGGAGAATGTTGTTTTTATGAATGTACATCATTAACATCAATTAATATACCAACAAGTGTAAGTACAATAGGAGATTATTGTTTTTATGAATGTTCATCACTAAAAACAATTAATATACCATCATCAATTACATCATTTGGAAAGGGATGTTTTTATCATTGTGGATGTGAAGAAGAATTAAAGAAGAATGAAACAATACCAAAATATTGCTTTGAAGAATAATAAAGAAGAAAGAAGATAATTGAATTATTAAAAAACAAAAAGAAATTTCATTTTATAATTTAAATGATAAGAAATACATAATAAACAAATTAATTGATAATAAAATGAAGAATGAAATATCAAATGAATGAAATGTGATAAAATCATCCATCATTTATTTAATTATTCATTTTTATTTAGTTTATTTCATATTATTTATTTCATATTATTTATTTGTTTCAATATGTTGAATTGATATTTCATCTCTTATTAAATAATATTTCATTCTTTATATTTGTTTTGTAAAAATTTTATTCTTTATTTTTATTCTTCTGTTTATTTCTTCTTCTTTCTTATTTATTTTAAACATCATGTCATTTCACATTTTTATTTTCTCTCTTCTTTATTTTTATTATTGTTATTATTGTATTTAATTCATATAAATATTTGGTATTTAATTCAAATATAAAATAAATCATAAGAATAATGAAATAGAAATGGTGAATAATAATGAAGAATCAATATAAACTTAATTATATTCTTTATTTTATTTTATTAATAATTAACAAATATTAATCAGTTTAAATTATAATGATAATAAGTATGAAATGAAAGAATGATAAATTGATAAAATACAAAGAATAATTTTATTGTATTTTCATTTATTATTCATTTAAATATATGTTATTTCATCATTTATTTCATTATTTATTATTTTCGTTTATTTACAATATGTAATTGTATCAATTTGATATAACATTGATGATTTAATTTATTTATCATATTTTATTCAACATAAAAATAAAATATTAAATAACAGTAGAATAATTTCATAAATAATAAACAATGAAATTGTATATTAAATGATGATATTAA